CCTAGAGTAGTTTTGCATCATTTGAATATCCTTTCCTCTATATTTGAGTGTCTTTTCAAAATTAGTTGTTTCTGAATTGAATTGTTAAATTTAACCACCATATGTCTTGGAGTTTGCAGGCTTGGGTTTTTTTCTGGAGGTGATATTTGATTCTTTGAACTGGTATTTCATTTTCTGTGTTCAGAAGTTCTGTTCAATTCTCTTTTATTATTTACTGAACTATGGTGTTAAGATTTTTTGTCCTATAATGTTTTTCTGGGAGACTTATGAACCTAAGGTAGTCTCTACACATCCTGTCTTGGAAATCAGTATGTTTTGCTTGTATAGTGAGCATATTCTAAAATATTATTATTATTATTTCCTTCTCTTCTTCTAGACTGTTCTCCACTTCTGAGTATTTGCATTCCCAAATCATTTGTTCTCTTTTTTGTTTCTTTGGTGAGACTCAAGTTTTTCTATTCTGCCAATTATTTTTACTCTGCAAGTCATAAATTCTGCTTTCATAATTCTCATTTCTTTTGTGGTTCCATGTTCTCCTCAAGTTTCCCAGGGTCCTTGTCTCTCCAAGTGTTGGATCATTTTGCTTTGTTTTGCAATATTTATTCATAGATCCCTGAACTCATTTATTAGATCTGGAGGCCATATTTCCTTCTGTTGTTAATGTTTTTCCATTTGATTTATCTGCTTATTTTTAAGGTCTTTGAGTTTTCTTCCTCCTGAGATATTTGATAGTTTCATTCTTTTTTTCCTGATTTTTCCTAATTGCATGCTTTCTGACTTCCTTCCCTCTAATGGTGGTTTCCCTGGAGGCTGGATCTCAAAGTGTCTCAGTTTCTTCTGATGCTGGGCAGTTTAAGGTTCACCAACCTAGGTCTATGCCATAGGAAGAGGGAGCAAAGTAGGATAAATAGAAATAAAAGAATGGAGAGAAAAAAAAGGCCTGCCTCAGGATTGGCTCATACTCTGCAGTACTACCAACAATGGAATCATCCAGTCCCAATTTGAACACTTCCGTTGAGGGAGATCCCACCATCTCCTGAACCCGCTCTAGTTGTTAGAAAACTCTCCCTTCCATCTAGCTAAAATCTGCCTCTCTGTAACTGGTTCCACTCCCTGGGGCCAAATCTGATGCCTTTTCCGCATGATGGCCCTTCAGATAATCGGAAGGCAGCTTTTACTAGCCACTTAAATCTTCTCGGGGTTAAACATCCCTAGTTATATGAAAAGTGAGAGAATTCAAGTCATCAGAGACATTGTCAGGCAACATCCTTCCTCTGTGATCGCCTTTCTCCACCTTGAGTACTGCCAAAGTCCCTTACCTGGAAGCCAGGGCTGTGAGTGGGGCAGGAGTGGGGAGGCCAGCAGTCCTTTGTACCCTAAATGTTCTTGGGCAGGTCCTAGGGAAAACACCTGGTTTCATTCTGTCAAACTACAAATTAGACCTTTTGAAGAATTCTCTTTAAGCTCAGATGCTAATACCTCAGTTGAGCAATAAAAAAATGCATAAAATAGTCTCAGATGTTTTGAGTCTAGAGTTGTACTACCACACATTAGCCACACACCTTCAACAAAGTTAATGGGTCACAAGGTATTTTCTTGTTAATTAAGTCCCATATGTTATATATTGAATAGAACTTGGAACCTTGAGTGATTATGATGCTGTAATCAGAGGGTCAGTAATTCAAATAAGCAAGAAATCACATAGTATGTTTATAATAAACTGTCTTGGTCTAGAGGGAAGGTGCTCCCCTTGGACTCCGCCGGTGTTTGCCCTTTAATCTGACAATAGGGTTATTGAACTCAAAGTAGCTGATTTCCCCCAGGGACTGAACACATTGCAGAAAGCCTGGGAATCTTAAAATAACAAGGTAGCTTGTTTCTACCTGGGTTGGTTTGGACATAAAATAAGGTGGCTTTCATCAAACTCTTTGCACCCTGGAAAAAAAGGTGGTATGAATCATACTTTTCCAGGCATGGCCAATGTGTTGATTTTTTTGGTTGCTTGTATTTAATTTGTTATGAGGGAGGGCTGCATGTCAGAGGGGGAGGACAGCAAGTTATTGCAAAGTGACAGTGATGTAAAAGAAGGAAAGACCACCAACCAAACACAAATGTGCCATATAATTAGCAATGAATAAAGATTTTTGTGCTATGTAAATCCCAGCTCAAAATCATCAGTGTTTTAAGTGTACTGTTTCCTTTGAAAAGAATTAATTTCTCTGCTCTAGCAGGAAGCTCTGGATAACAGGTAGGCAGCACCGCCTAGTGGCCTGAATGTGGATTTGAACTCAGAAAAACAGGTTATCACTAGATTGTTTTGTGTTTGCTTTGTAAACTAGATAGTCATTCACTTTCTTCCTTACTACTTTAATTGGGAATAACCTTCACAGCTGGTATTGTTTCCACATAAGATAAGCTTTTAGGCAGTCAGAGAATCTCAGAAATGGAAATCCCCCCAATCGTCTTGTCTTAACTCAGACGTGACCAGGAATCACCTCTGCAGTACTACCAACAATGAAATCATCCAGTCCCAACTTGATGAACGCATCTCCTGAACCCGCTCTAGTTGTTAGAAAACTCTCCCTTCCTTCTAGCTAAAATCTGCCTCTCTGTAACTGGTTCCACTCCCTGGGGCCAAATCTGATGCCTTTTCCGCATGATGGCCCTTCAGATAATCGGAAGGCAGCTTTTACTAGCCACTTAAATCTTCTCGGGGTTAAACATCCCTAGTTATATGAAAAGCATGGTCCCTATCCTGCTCACTGTCCTGGTTAAGTTCTGGTAACCAGAACACACTACATTTTTTCAGATTAAATTTTATGCTTTCAATTAACAAGCATTTCTTTTCTCTCCCTCCTCTCCCCTCCATACCACTAGAGAAAGAAAGAAAAACAAAACCCTTTAAATAAATATGCAAAGTCAATTGAAATAAATTCCCACACTGGCTATGTCTAAAAATGTTTCTCATTTAGTCCATCACCTGTCTGTCAGGAGTTGATCTTTAGTTCTCTGAAATCATGGTTATTGTGTTCATCAGCATTATGAATCGGGAAAACATACACTGCTGCTTTTTAATTCTTTATTCCTGGGGTCATTGACCTTGTCAGGTCATCACCATCACTATTATTGCCAAGAGCGTTTGTTAAATGTCTCTTCAATAATATTGTGTTAAAAAAATTAAAGCACTCAATATAGTACTTGCCTTATTGTCTAAGACCCCAGGGGGACTGAGAATTCCTGTTGGATCTCCGATTCTTCCCATTGTTCTGCACTGTAATGGATTTGGTGTTAGGGTAAGACCTCAGTAAATTAACCTAAACCTACACCATGCAAGTGGTGTTATTCTTAACTCTCCCCATTGAGAATTACTGCTTAATTACATGGACTATTTTCATATAGTGGAGTTCATCTTAAATCAAATTTGACAACTTGAAAAAGCATTTCATAAGAGGCCAAAGTGCACTTGAGCATTTTAGGGGCTAGGTAGAAGGATTGTTTACTTTTTGGCTGCCTTTTGATTCAGCTTTGAAAATAACTACTCACCTATTTGCCCAGGGCAAGTGATTCTGCTGGATGAGTAATAAAATGTCTGTTAATTTTATTTACTTTACTGCCAGTGTACCTTTGGGGAGTAGAGAGTAAAAACAAATTGTGGGCTGGTAAAATCTTAAGCTTATTTACAAGACTGCCTTAATTCTTTCAGTTCTCTATTTTTCATGGACAAAAATGACATCATGATCAGATTTTATGAATTGCTGGCATCAGAAAAATATGACCAAAATGATGCCAAGGGACCCCCTACTAACTCAGCCACCCAGGTGAAGTGTAATGACATACAAAATTGTTCTCAGGGTCTAAAGCACAATATGCAAGTCTCAATGAAGGGAATGTTCTCTTCACTGATTTCTAGGAAACTTAACCCTATTTACATTTCAATATTAACTGTCTCTATGTCTGCTTTATGATTTTCAACTTTTACTCACATGTTTAGTCAATAGTTGGTTCTGCTGTGTATATGTGAGTGTGTAAATATGTATGTATGCACACGCATTTACATAAATGAGTGTGAGATATATATATCTATATCTGTATCTATATCTATATATATCTATCTGTATTTAAACTGGTTTGAATGAAAAGATTGGTTTTGAAGAAGAGAGGAAGGAAATTCTCCCCTTCCAACACACTCATCAGTGTGAGTGGAGAGAACATAAGTTCTAAATGTTGATTGAGAGCATGTCTTCAATGGAATAGGAAGAATGCTGATTTTAGAGTCAGAAGACCTGGGTTCAGATTTTGACTTTGTTTTTTTTACAATCAGTGTGACATTGGGAAAGTCAGTTAATTACTTGGTGTCATGTAGGTGACAGGTAGGCAACTAGGTGGTGCAGTGGATAGTCAGGGAGATCAGAAGTTAAATACTGCCTCATATACTTAATTAACCTCTGTCTCTGTCAGTCTCAGTGTCCACATCTATAAAGCAGGGATAATGATAGCGCTTACCTTACAGGTTCTTGCTAGGATCAAATGAATTAACATATGTAAAGCAATTTGTAAATCTCTCTCTGGGTATATGTATACATGTATGCATATAAATGCTAGCTAATGTTATTATTTGTAAAATGTCAGAGATAGAATAAATGACCTCTAAGGTTACTTCCATCTCTAAATCTATGGCTTTGTGGCCCTATGATTCTAGCACAGTGCTGGAGACATAAAAATGTTCAGTAAATACTTGTTGAAATCATGCCTTCAAATATTATCTTTCGTTAAATGGTTTCAGAAACATTACTTTGGAGATGTTCCTTTCCTGTAGAAATGTAGGGTAGAAAGGAGCTTAAAGAAATCAACCAGTTCACCTTTCTCTTGAGTTAGGATTACCCTCAATCCATCACAGAAAAAGAGCATTTTCTTAAAATCCCAAGAGGAGATTCCACATTGTGTCTTAGTCAGATACATATGTTCCTGTGACTCCCAGATCTTTCATCTCTCTCTTTCAGGTCCAGCTTCAAGCTTCTGGCTGTGAGTGGAAAACTGTATGCCATTGGTGGGCAGTCTGTTTCCAACGTTGAATGTTACAATCCTGAGCAGGACTGGTGGAATTTTGTGGCCCCGTTACCAAATCCTTTGGCTGAATTCTCTGCCTGTGAGTGTAAGGGAAAAATTTATGTCATAGGAGGATACACTACCAGAGGTAAGTCAAGTGAGCCAGGTGGTTAAAAAAAATGTCATGCGTAAGAACCTGTGGCTTAGAGAGGGGCAAAGGATGCCGGCAAGAAGTGTCCAGATGTGCCCAAATGTTTGCTTGCCAGTCACAGTGGAAGGAATAAAAATATTTATTACTGACCTACTGTGTGCTAGCCACAGTTTTAGGTCATGGGAATACAAAGACTGAAATAGGTTTAGTGTATAGGGCAAGGTGGTGATGGGACCCCTATAAATAGGGTCAAAAATTCTGTAGAACAAGCTGGGCATTAATTGGGGAACTGTGGGGGAAACCATGCTTTATATCTACTGCCTCTGGAAACTTTATCAGGACATACAGATAGGTTCCTATTAGTGCAAATAACGAATTCTGTAAATTGGTTGCACATATTTGAATTTGTACTATTCTAAGTTATAATTATGTAAAATGGGATCATTGATTCCAGTCCAGTGGAAATATGCACATTAGTAGAATAATGTGACTGGGCAGCTAGGTGGTACAGTGAATAGAGCACTGGGCCTGGAGTCAGGAAAACCCGAGTTCAAATCCATCCTCAGATACTACCTGTGTGACCCTGGGCAGGTCACTTAACCCTGTTTGCCTCAGTTTCCTCATCTGTAAAATGAAATGGAGAAGGAAATGACGAACCACTCAAGTGTCTTTGCCAAGAAAACCCCAAATGGGATCACAAAGAGTTGGGCATGATTGGAAAATGACCAAACAATATCAATAACACAGGAGAAAGACTAGGGAGTGATTTAAAGATCTGGGAATCATCAGCATGAGGTGGTAATTAAACCCATGGAGGCAGATGAAGTCTCCTAGAAGAAAAGAGGGCCCATGATAGGGCCTTTCGGGGGATACCCATCCATAGGAACTTAAGTATAAAACATAAAATTGGTGGTCTCCAGATGGAGGATGAAAGGAAAATATGAAACTGATCGTGTCTCTGCAAAGGGAGTACTTCTTTCTGGTTACATGCCATTGGGAGACAAAAGCTCATTGAAAATGTACAACTGGACTGGTAGGACATTCAGAGTTTTGGTCACAGAGGTAGGACACATTTGACATAATCAAAAAGAGGACAGAACACCTTCTTAAATGTTTCATGTATAGAATAGATAGAACAGAAATGCCATCCTAATGGCATTGTCTTGGTTGTGGGTGATGACACTGAAAGGAACTTTTAATTAACTTACAGTTCTCCCAGGGGGTAGTCAGCAAGTTCTGTTGAGCCTTCTGTGTGTAGAACACTGTTCTGTATATTTGTATTTTAACCAAATAGGTGGGAGAAATTGTGCTGCTTGCCTCAAAAAGTAAAGTGTTTTTTTTTGGTGGTGCTTTTTTTTTTTAAGAGGAAAAAAATTCTCTATTTTGTGAGCTTCTTTTTTGAGTTGGATTGACATTTCTTGGTTATGGAGAAGTAATCCTCTGAAGTAAGGATCCCTGGAAGAACTTAAAATGGTTTAGTTGTGTGAATATGCAAATGTTTGTGTGTCTTGGGGAGGATAGTGGGATGTGTGTATGTGTATTTGTGTACTGCAGTGAGGTGGGCGTCAAAGGCTGTATATTAGTAGTAAAATTGTTTCCTCTCTAGTATATCAACAGCGTGGTCCCTTCCTTTCATGAAGCTGTTCCAGGTGTGTTGCATTAGGAGTGAGTCTTTGAACTGTAGAGAAGAAAATCCCAGTTTTTCCTTTATATTTAATTCTAAAATACAGTGCCCAGCGCTCACTCATTTTACCTCCAGCTTAGTGAAGGAGTAAGGTTGCAGTAGTCATCTCTGTATTCTAAAAACAGTCCATAGCTCCCAAAGGATTCCTGCAAATGTGTTTTCATGGGAAAGGGAATACTCAGAATGATCCACGTAAGTGAATTTCCAAGAATTCTAATTCCTTTCAAGCTGGGTACCAGCCAGCAATGCATCATATGTGAATTGGAAGAATGCAAACATTGACATTTAATCTACATTTTCCTAAAGTGATGTCAAATATTCTTCTTTCCTCTTGCTAAATACGTCCATAAAAATATAAGATGACAGGCTAGCACTAAAACTAGGCAAATGATCCACTGAGAAATTTCTTGTCTTTCTTTTTTTTCCCCCACCACCTTGGCTGAGCAAATGTCCTTTAAATTTGACCTGGAAAACACTTGCTGGTGTGTTTCTAGCTTCACACTGCTTCTGCCAATGTACCTTTAGCTTCCCCTGGGCCACCCACTATGATTTCGGTTTTGGAATTTCCAAGCCAGAACACCCATTGTGGGCTGGTTTGGTGCTGTGGATAAATATGTGGGGGTTTGAATACGAGTTTGTAAAGATGACAGGGTCGGGTATTCTCTTGTACTCCTTCAGAAATCCCCTATGCTTAGTTCTTCCTAGCAGTTCTGGTAATTACATGTACTTAACCAAGAATTATTAATTATTAAGTAGTCCTTCATAGAAGAGCAAAAATATCAGTATCTGGAAGTTTGGTTTATGTCCTGCTACCTTCTTAAGCTGGGCCAGATTTCCAGTCTCTTTTATAATATGTGATTAAATTTCAGAACATCTTTTTGGAGACTCCACATTTTGCTGGGTCAGATAGTTTCAGTGGGTTAAAGGACATTCTAAGTTCTAGAGTTGAGAAGTGTAATGTTCCTTTGAAATTCCTCTTCCGAGAAACAGTCTTATTAATTAAGGAGACATTTTCAGCACATTTGCAATTCATCTACCTCACGTGAGCTCCCAAGAGAGCAATCTTTTTCTATACTATTTAGTGACTAATATTATAAGGAGATCAGAAAGATAGCGTAATTTAAAAAGCTGAAACAACTGGGAAGTTTCTCCATTGATTTTTATCTAACTCCTGACATCATCAAAGCACTTACTATGACCTGGTCTCCTTCTTCCTGTATAATTTTAGCATATACTTTCCTGGGGACTGAGGCTCAAAGAGAGTTATGGAGGGGCATATATATGGAAGGATCATTTTCTCCTAATAGTTGAAGGGATTACCATATCATAGTCTTCTGTGTAAGAACCTTGCTGCCATAGTATAATTTCACACATATTGCTACCCACTGAATCAACAAGCATATATGAAATGTCTACCATGTACCAGGCCTCCATACTAGGAGGTCGGGCTACGAAGGAAAGAAACAGTTTCTGCCCTCAAGAAGCTTACATTTGATCAGAGGATATGACATATACATAGATAAATATATATACACATAAATATATACATACACACATATATACACATACACACAGAGTTAATTTTTTTGGGTAGAGGAGTGGAAGGTACTGGCTGCTAGGATAGAGGCACCAATAAACATACTTGATTTGAGTTTTGAAGGAAGCTAATGATTGTAAGAGACAGAGCTAAAGGGGGTATTGCTTTTCAGAAATGGGAGACAGCCAGTGCAAAAGTATGGAAACAGAAGATAGAGTGTTGTGTAAATGAGGATCAGTAAGGAGGCCAATTTGGTTGGACCATGGACTGTGTGAAGGGGACTAATTAGTATAACAAGGCTGGAAAGTAAGTTGGAGCCAGGTTATGAAGGGATTTTAATGCCAAAACAGAAGAATTTGTATTTGATCCTAGAGGAAATAGGGAGCCAGTGACATTTATTGAGCAAGGGAATGGTGACCATAGTGGTAGCTATGTGAGTAGTGAAAAAGGGATTGATGCAAGAGATGTTGTGATGGTAGAACTGACAAGACTTGGCAACTGATTGATTATGTGATTGAAAGAGAGGGAAGATTCTAGGAGTACACTGAGGTTATGAACTTGTATGACTGGAAGAATGGTGATGCCCACGATTGAAATAGGTAAGGTAATTAGAATATGGCACTGGAGCTCGGGAGAGATTCTAGGAATGGAAATGTATATTTAGGAGTAATTTCCATGGAGATGATCATTAAACCCATGGGAGCTGCTAAAGTCACCAAGGGAGAGTGTAGAAAAAGGAGAGAAGAGAGTCTGGAACAGAATTTGGGGGTTCACCTAAAGTCGGCGGGCAAAGCACCAGCGCTGTCACTACTGCTTCTCCTCAGATTCCAATGTAGACAGCCAAAGACCCTGAGCCCTGGAAATAACAGTGTCTCCTCCCCTTACTCCCTATCCAAGACCACTGGCCCTACTACTAGCCTGGCCCAGACAGCCACAGTTTAGAGAATAAATCCTTGTAGATATGTAACCTGGCAGCTGCATTAGAAGCTATCTTCTGCCTCCTTATTAGTCACAGTGACTGAAGACCCAGAAAAGAATGTTCTGCCTGCAAAAGTCCTTGACCTGGTTAGAAGGTTCAACATCAGAAATTGATTAGTAGAAGTAACATTAAAGAAGTTGAATTACCATCTGTTTTGCCATTGCATCCTAAGAACCATGATGCCTTTCTCTGATTTGCAGCTGAAACCTCCTGTATATATTATTTCCCCCTATTAGGTCAATTAATTAAGCACTTACCATGTGCGTAGTACTCTACTAAGTGCTAGGGATATTAATGTAAGCAAAAAATTATGAGAGTTCTGCCTTCAAGAAGCTTATATTCTAATGGGGAAGATAATGCATAAAAGGGAGCTAAGAAATTGGGGAGGGGAACTCACCACAGGGAGAAGGAAGTCCCAGGAATGAAGGGAGAAAGCAGCTGAAGCAGGGTCTGGACAGTGAGGCAGTGAGAAAGGTCTGGGCCTTTTTGTCAAAATGGAGGTTCATGAAGAAACTCACCAATGGGACAGTTGAGTTCCTTGAGAGCAGAGCTGCCTTCCTTTTCTTTTTGTACCCCAGTGCTTTGCAGATAGTAAGTGCTTAATAAATGCTTTTTCATTCATTGATGGCATGGATGATGACTGCACAAAGGAGACTGAGAAGGAGCAGTCAGATAGGAGAACCAAGAGACAGTCCTATCATAAAAATCTAGAGAGGAAAAGTTATCCAGAAGAACTGGGACTACAACCAAAAATCAACTATCCAGCAAAACTGAGTGTAATCCTTCAGGAGGAAAAT